ATTTTTACAATAAGAYTTGAATTCAAAGTACCTAAGTATATACACAGCTTGAAAAATATAAGCATTCTCTCCCAAAAGTGACAAGAGACATCACTGCAAGAGTTTGAAACATAAGTCATCTTGCAAAAATTTTCATTTCCTTTTTTAAAATCAGACAAAAAAAAAAGCTGCAAATCCACTTGAAGTTAGAAAGTTTTTTTCAAAACCCACAAAGGTAATTTTAGATGTTAGAAATTGAATGTAAATATAAAATAGTTTATTCAGGACAGAACTTATTCCTGTTTCCTTATTTCATTAGGAATTTCAAAATGCATTTTCTGCATTTGGGAATTAGCTAGGAGATTGCAATATGATGTATTTATCACACAATTTTAAAATTTATTTTGTTGATGGGGAGGTAGTCAACTATTTCCGTCCTTACAAATTAGTTTTGAACTCAGATCAGAGCTCTTTAAGATCAGTGTTGCTTGACATTCTATGCACCTATTGTAGTATTTTAAAGAAGAAACATTTCAGATAAAATATTTACTAAGTCCACAGAACAAAAGCTACATTTTCTGGTACCATCAAACCCTCCAACTTCACACCTAGTCTGCATGTCAAAACTTGACTGCCAGAAGCACCGCCAGCAGTAAAATCCCTTTTATTTCAGGCTTCATCGATACCTCATTTTCTCCCAAACTCCCTCCAAGAAGTAATCAGAATGATCATAAYTTCCTGCATACAAGATTCCAACCAGAGTTACCACCCTCAGCAGCCAAACAGCCACCAGAGGAAACACTTGATCACTATGAATACATGCAACACACAAGAGTTCATTCAGGCAGCAACAGCTTTTGGAAACTGCTGCCTTTTACTTTTGAAGACGTGCACAGGTTCTCCCTCCATGATGATTTTAGAAAGACTGAAAGCCCAAGAATTGCACTMGATTTTAAGCACCTCTGCAGACATATTAAGATTGTAAGATTTGCTAACACAAGCCACTTCTGTCACATCCATTAAGTTCAATCAGAACCTTTCTTCTGAAGAAACTTCTTAAGAATTCTACAATTTGATCTCATCTATGTAAGAATGCACCTTGCCCAGAACTTTGAAGGTATGCAACTCCTTCCCATCTCTCTGAAATTCAGCTGAAATAYTGGAAAAGAAAACCACTACCAAGTTTGTTAGCCAGTTCAGCAACAGAGAAAAAAAATTTACAATTCGTCCCATCTGTTTAAGTCAAAGGCAAATATCTAAGTCAAAATTTATTTAAGGCAAATATTTAAGTCAAAATTAATATGCACTCTGTGTTCCCTTTTACTCTGTCACATTTATGCTTCTCCTGCATCCTAGAACATACTTAGGACTACATGCTCAGAAAACAAAATATTACTATATAATCCACAGGCTGCAATACCTCTTATCTCTTTATTTTTATAAGCTGTTCCTTTCCCAAGTACTTTTCATTTCAACTATCATGAGCCCTGCCAAACAGGATCAGACACATGTTAAAAAAAAAGGTTACATGTATATATTTTGACAGGACAATCCATGATATTCTTAAGGAACAGAGTTGTCTGTAAATACAAGCAAGAAAAATATTTACTAGGGCTTTCCATAAACTTTGATGCTTCATCTTCAAAATATCTTGCCTTATTCTGATCTCTAAAATTCATCTGTCAACACCCGCTATTACAGGCAGTCAGAAAAAGAGAACTATAGGCAGTAAGTTCACATTCTTTCTCTTAAATATAGCTTTAAGATTCTCATAGGAAAATGTCACATTTATGACACTTGTCATATCCCAAAATATATAACTTAAATGTGAGCACATGCCAAACCACCACAAGCTCTCATTCTACTTTGAAGTATCACTTCAATAAAGAGGGGACCAGCTACTTAACTGAAATCACACCTTAAGCTTGCTTTCACAAATAAGAACTCCAATATGACCCGCCACTCTCAACGCCTTTCACTTCTCTGATTTTGGATTTAAGTTAGACCAGTGACAGGAGCAGTTTGAGCAGYAGTCACCACAGCAGAACCACACCAGGAACTATCCTAATTCTTCAATTCATTCACCCATTCAAGATACAGCATGAAGAGGTTCTGTTAGCAAGGATACAAGAACCTTATCCAATGCTGCCTAAGACCYGAGAAATCCAGCGTTCAGAAATCCAGCCACAAAGAGATTAGTACTGGAAAGGTACTTCACTGTGGAATGGTAATCAGCTGACTGATAAGAGAGCTGGGGATTTGGTCACCTCTCCACTGCCCTAATGAATGCAACTGACAGACGTTATCCAGCTCCTAGTGCAGCCTGGAAAGTTGTAATTCCTTGCCATCAGGATGATCTGCTCTTGAAGGAAAGCAAACATTACTGGCATATTCACAAGGTGTCACTTATCACTACATACAGGAATGGTCCACTTGCTGACACAATCTAAGCTGATTACCTCTCATTCCTGTCCTATAAAGCAGGAAAAGGGACTTTAACCCGTTTTGTATCTTGCATAGCCTGGAAAGGCCCAGAGATACCATACTTCAGCACCTGCCACTCCCTGAAAGACATGGGAACAGAAATAAAGTACATGTAAAGGCTATCTGGAATCCAGTCCAGCCTCAACACCAAATTTTAAAGCATTGCTTTGCCGTACTACTTTACTTCACTCTATCTTTTCAACAGGATACTTAATAYTTGATTGACGTAAAAATAAAATATATCAAGCTTCAGTTTCCTCAGCAACAATCAGGCATAAGTAATGGATCCTGAAAGGATCACTTCTACAGCAGAACTCCCCTGATGTTACCACTTACTTCCCTTAGCCTGCTTCTTCAATAGACAGGTACACATAGCATTAACCTGTTTTCTTCTGACTGCTCTGCCTTCTCCTCAACCAGCTAACCAGCATCAATGAGCTCAGCATCAAAACCAATGCTGCTAGAAACATACAAACTCAAATCTATTTMCCAACATATAATTAGGGGAGAAATAGACACAATGACTTTCCAAAAGCTTTGCTCTGATGCATTCCCTGCAATGATCAACAACTTAAACTTGTTTTAAAGTCACACTGAACTAGTCTTGAGCAGCCCATAAAAGGGATTCTGATTCAACTCTCACACCACAAAGACACCTCTTCCTTCCCCTCACTTCTCCTTCCCTCACCCTTTTAAAGGGGTGAAAACACTCACACTTCAGTGCATTTCACTGATTAAATGAAAAGGTAATTATCCCCACCCCCAGCTTAAGACTTTAAATCACGAATCTGCAATGATCTCACCTAGAAGAAACTTGAAGCAACTGCTACAGCAAAAGGTGTCACATATGGAAAGAAACGGGCATTGAAAGAAATTRCCCTCTCAAAGAAAAAACGTGAACCCTTTTACACTGAAAAGCTCTACATGTTACTTATACCTGAAAAATGATTCGTTMACACCAAATAACCTTCCCGCTAAAACATACTTTCSTTGCAATCAATCAGRACATGATTCCACTCACATCTTGTATTTTAAATGAGCTCATCTTAAATAGCCATGACCTTTTCCCACTCTAGTGGGGCAAAAAAGAAATTCAGCAGTAGTGGACTTAGCAAGAACACAGAGCTATCATGTAATAAATAAAACCACAGAGCTCTGCATGCAATACAACAGAAGCTGAAGGAAATCTTTTCAGTTTTGACCTCAAGCTCGATGCACTGTTCAGACAGTACTCTCAGGGTTTTTTTTTGCAGTGTCAGTCAACAAATCACCCAAAGCCATAGTGGTGTTTATCAGTAACATTYGCAATACATACTTTTTATTATCCCACACTATTGAAACTAACAAACATTCAGAGAAAAAGAAAAAAATACACTTTTTACTATCAGACTTTGTACAAATGCACAACAAAATTCAACACTGCACAGAAGATGTTCTTTTTACATATATTTATTTCATGTACTTGGAAGCTGTCCCTTTTCTTTCAACTGCCAGTTGTGCAGACATCTATGGTTAAGAGCCCCTGGTGCACAGAGAGAATTGTTAACCTCAGTGACTGTCACTCAYGCACTTCCCAGAACCCAACACCTGCACAAGCTGATGAACTTCTAACACACACTCGGCTCASAGGCTTGGGTGAAGGCCTGAGCCGAATTTCTCCATTGGGATATGTACAGACCTACACAGCTTCTGCCTCAAATATCTTACAACCTAGCTAATCTATTTTTTTTTTCTTACTGGTAGACAAATTCAGGAGAGGGGAATGCCTGGCATGCCTCAATTTTCAGACTGATTACTGAGAGAAAACCACTTCAAAGGTCATACACCTGCAAATGAAAGCGATGTGATAACATAAAGTGTAGGAAAAGCAACACCCCAGCACTGCTGACTCCTAACCAACACAACTGAAGACACAACCTCACATCTGAATGTTATGTATTATTACTTTTATAGCCCAGCCAGGCTCGGCTGAGGTCAGACACTCTCTACCATAACAGTTTGCCACAGCAAACTACGGAGAAAGGCGACGATCTCCCCCACTTCCACGCTTAGGGAAGGGCCTGCGAGAGCAGCAGCACAGGTGAGCGCCGGAGGCACCCCGGCAGCACACCAAGGCATGAACCCCACGGCTGCTGAGGGAGGAAAGCCGCCCACGAGATGCTGCGGATGAGGGAGGATGCCCGGGGAAAAAGGGCAATTTCTTTGTGAAGACACCAGCCTAGAAGGGCAGCGGGCGCAGGCAGCCTCCCCCGGCTCCCACGCTGCTCCCTTTCCGTCTCAGTGCCGCAGGAAACGATCCAGGTTTTAATGGACAGAAGGGGGGATTCTTTCTCGGGAGACGGATCCGAGAAGCGGCACCACATCCCCCGCGAAGTTGGAAGCTTCTGGAAGTTGTGTGTTTCGTTACGAGCGCGCACGGCCACCACCACCTCCCGCCGCCGGTTCCCGCCGGGGCCCGGCCCCCGCCCCCCCGCAGCCGCCGGGAGCCGCCGCGGCCCAGCCGAACCCCCCGCCCCGGGGACGGCCGCCAGCATCACCTTCATGCCGCGTCTCCCGGAGCACCGCCCGGCGGGGATGCAGGGAGGGCGGGCTGCCGGCGGCTGCGTGCCCGTCTCCCCCGGCGCTGGGGCTCCGGCTCCTCCTGCCCGATGTAAACACACACCGGCGGGCGGGGGGAGGCTGGGCCGGGGGGCAGCGCCATGGCAACCCGGCCGGAAGAGGAAGCGCGGGGGTCAGGGGCGCCATGTTGGCGGGGGGCGCGGGGCTCGCTGTGATGCTGAGGGGGGCTCGGAGCCGGCGCTTTCCAGCGGAGCCGGGGCTCCGGGCAGCCTTCACCAAGACACCTCGGCAGCCGAAAGCGCTGCCTGACATGGCAAGTGACGTGCTTCACCTGTGGTATCATACTGTCTCCTCCAATTTCCATTGTAAACTGCTGGGAATGCAGCGAAGGGAGATGAATTGACTGAGCAGTAAGTCAAACATGGAAGCACTGTTTGTTTGGCCAAGATGAGGAGCCCGTTCTCCGGGCTCTGCCCTCGCTGCAGGCTTGCCGGCGTTCACGGACTCAAATAGAATCAATTAGGTTGGAAAAGATCTATGAGATCACTGAGTCTAAGGTAAACACCCCCACGTCAACTAGACCATGGTACTAAATGCCACATCCAATCTTCAGACAACTCCAAGGACAGTGACTCCACCACCTCCATGGTCAGTCCATTCCAGCGTCTTTACTGCCCTTACTGAGAAGAAATTCCTCCCAATGTCCAGCCTGAGAATCCCCTGGTGCAGATTGATTCTGTCCTCTCTTGASACTTGTAACTTGGGAGAAGGGGCCAATCCCCAGCTGACTACAGTCTCCTGTCAGGGAGTTGTAGAGGTCACTCCTGAGCTTCCTTTTCTCCAGGTTAAACATCCCCATCTCCCTCAGCCGCTTCTTACAGGACATGTGCTCCAGACCCCTCACCAGCTGGACAATCGATCGTGGTCACAAGCTGGGTGACCAGGAGGGTGTGGGGYTTTCGAGCCCTCTCCTCCCATTATGCTCAGCCTATGGAGCATGGCTCCAGCCTGCAGGATGGGGGCTGTGCCCATGCTGCTGCTTCCCACGAGGTAGTACAGCTTGGTAGCAAAGGTAAAAGAATTTGGAAATAATCTTTGATGTGTAAGGCTTTCTTTCTCGTGTATTGCTTTAAAACTATCGCTGAGCACAATCACACACATGGATAGACAGAAGTGTGTTCTGCCACTGGATGATTTGGTGCAATAAGGGAAGCCAGACAAAGCAAAACAAAAAGAAGAGTGGTGTGAAGTAATGGTTCCTTAAATAGGGAGAGAAAGCAACATTAAGCAAATGACAGTGATTAAGAATTCATTTTTCTCTGATTTAGTATTATTCTACATATGCTATTGAGTTAGTATGTAGAGAACATAACTGCAGCTTGACAAATGGTTGAATCCAAAAGAGGAAAGTCTGCTTTTATTCCTTTTTAAAACTTCTTGACTAAGAAATGTTGCAATTTCTTCTCTAAAAAAGTGCCCTTGGCACCTATATGTCTTCCAARGCATTCTGCAACATAGTGGACTCTATTTAGTCAGAAACCATAAAAGAAACACATTGCCTTAAATCTAGAAATACCTTCTCTCAGTGCACAGTTAATTTTTTGTTTCATACTSTCATTTCTAATTGCAGAACCTCCTTGAAGACAAGCAGTACTGTAAGATGGTTTCCATTTTTCAGTTAAATAGGAAACTCTTTATAGACATCAAAGTCATTCCCTCACCTCACATGGGCTGACAATTAGAGAGATTCCYATCCTTTGCTTCTCACAACGCATCCATGCCTTACATAATTATCTGCATCACTTCTCAGAAGAAGTATTCTGCAGCCCTTTCCTGGCACAAACTCTCATTGCAGTTTATATTTCCTATGCACATATAAACATACTTAAAGCATGTGAATATTCTCAGAAGAGCAGTAGTTGAAGCCAGTGAATTCAGCAAAGTTTTCACATACCACACTAATTTCTACAAATATGCACATATAAGTGCATATATAAGCACACCTACAATGTGTGTGTGAGATATGACCCTATGTATTAGATGTATAAAATTAACTGTAATAACATAATCAAAATGTAAGTCCCTTAACATAAATAACAAAATTTATATAAAATAATCTTTTCAAGAGTATTAGTAGAATTAGATTGTATTAAATTTTCAATTGTGTAATGCAAATCCATATTTTGGTGAGTAGAAAGAAGGTCATATAAAGTTTGTGTGGAGTTTAACGTGTAAATTACAGCCTGATTAACAATAAAATAATATTGCCTAAAGTATAAATGGTTAAAGGGGAAAATACCTTTTCTCTCATCCGGGTTAAGTGATTCATTCTAGTGAAGTTCAAAATTCAACTTTCTCCATTTAAAATAGAGAATTTCATATGAACATAAAATTATTTTTTCAGCAAGTTCCTAAGCCCATCAAATACAATAGAGAGATTTAAGTACAATCTTTAAAAAAGTTACCTTCAGGGTGTAATGTTTTCAATGTCTGCAGAACACTCAAAGAATGTTGCTKCTGAAAAATCAGAATATTCTAGATGGTGGAAAAATGGTGGGTGAGGAGAGGGGGCAGAGAATAGGAAATAGCAATTTGTTTACTTTATGCTAAGCACTTGAAGTACTCTATTCCTGAAAGTCTTTCAGCAGCTACCAAAATKATTTTTTATCTTCATCCATTTAACGCACTCCAGACCAGTTCTGGTGAGATTCACCTCAAAAGTGTGTCTCTGTTGAAGCAAAAAGGCCAATGTATATGCTTTCATAAACTCCACTGTTCGTAAATTAGGTGATGTCTTTTCATGCAGAAATTCCCTTCCCAGCCTTCATGAAGTAGGGACCAATCTGGGAGATTTGCCTCCCTAAGATTTTCTGTGAAGGCTGMGGATCTCAAACATCTTAACTAAAGCATTGTTCACTTGAAATTTTCTTCAAGGTGTTGAAGTCAGTGAAAAAAAAAATGTTCACCTTCAGATTTGGTCACAGTACGTTCCTAAACAATTCCTTGCAAGAAAAAGGAAGTTTAATAGAAGTTAGCATTCATTGTGTAAGGGTGAGTGTACATGAAAGAGTGATATTCAGGGTGTTTTTTTCTGTGTAGTCTAGAAAGTCCACTCCTCAGGTGCAGAAKGATATAACAGCTTCTCGCTGTCACATTTACTAACTTTAGGAAATTAGATTTGAGCACTTTTTGCCTGTGCTGATWACCACAAAGTGGCTCAGAGGCAAGAACCCAATCAACAACTGAGGTTCCAGATCATAGCCCTACAATACTAGAGCTTTCCYTCAGATGTATTTGAACATACTGAGGTGAAACATTGAAGCTGAGATAATTCATACCAGATTCGACTGGTGCAAGGTTCTATTTCACCTGAGTGCAGGTGACTGGCATCATAAAGCAGAATGGCCCTGCCTTGTTACCCTTGTTTACCTCCATTTTTTCATCCCTAATTTCTTAAATCACATTCTTGCCCTGTGTGACATTTGAGCAGCCTTCACATTGCCTGCTGTTAGAAAGCGTAATGCAGCAAAAAGAAATGCAAGTACCAGGTGGCACAAGACAGGAAAACAATACACAGTAATTATTCATTGTGACGGCTGGACACAGTATGGTTCCAATAGTTGGCTCATGTGTTAAAGGGTTTTGCTAGAAAGGAAATTATTTCCAGACTATGAAGCTGCTGGTTAGTAATGACTGGAGCTTTTACAACTCCTTCAGACATCTCTGCTCCAGATGAAAAAAAATTCACCTTACTTTGAGAAAATTAATTTGCCATTGGCCTTTTCAAGCATYCCAAAAACACTCAACAAACAAATTAGCTACAACTTTGCAAAAACGTAAGTGGCAGTATTCCTCATGCTGTATCATGGTGAAGGACTCATGTATTAAGAGACCTACCCTTACTTTGTATGTCTTACAGGTTTCTGTAGCTCTCAGTACAGCAGCATTTGATTATCTCTTTCCTAACTTCATGTTTACCACATCCCTGCAAGGTAGGGAGGTACTTGCTGCATTGGGTAGTCAGATATTGGAGAACATTCCAACTCTAGTAGAGAATTAATAAAATTCTCAATGGGAATGTAATTCACATTTCTGAAGGCACAAAGGTAACTAAACCAAGGAAAGTTATACACCCTACAGCAGTCAGTTACCTAAACACCACATGACACTGGAATCTGAACAAGGTATCAGATGCCACAGCATTTGTAGCAGAGCAAGGAGCATCACTTAGCCTTCTACATCCTGGAGTGATAACACCCTAATTCAGGAACTGACTCCTTTTAAGGAATTCTTATTCATTTAAAACATCCTTACTTTCTAATGATATAACAAGAAAAGCATAGACAATCTTGTGATTTGGCTGTATYATTAGCTTCATAGTTGTAGAAAGGTTCTGCTGTGAAGGGCCCGTGGCACTCAAACTGAAGAACTTGGCATGCCAAAAGCTCATGTGAAACAGTGGGGTTTTCCCCTGTGCAGATTTCAGTGTTTCACAAGGCATTTAAGCATTAGGTGCAAGGTTTATTGGTCTGTTTAAAAGCAAAAGAATGGCTCAGTGTTGTTGCACGATATAAAGATAAGCCACAGTTCTCCCTGGGCAGTGGGAAGTCTATTTTATCAGGAAATAGGACAGGTATCAAGAAAATAAATTGAATCAWGTGTAGACAAGTAGTCAGCATATTCTTGAATGCCTTTCTAAGGGATGGTAACAATAGGAGATTTATTAATAGTTTGTGAAATTAGTTATAGCTGGATTTGACATATTGCCTCACTTCATGCACATAACATTTAGGTCTTGGCCATGGACTGGAAGAGATTTTGATATTTCTGTGATAAAATAATAATGTGTTATACTTGTGTAAAGCAGATTTGGTGACCGTATATCACTCTTACTGGGAAATTTCTTATCTAAAATCTATTTCAAATGTCTGTTAAAGATCCTTCTGCACAGAGATAGAGCACTTACCCATTACCTTGTATAGCTGTAATCAGTCTGCCCACTTCTCTGAATGCAAATGCTTTTTGCTCAGTTGTGTAAAATGCTGAWTTCCAAATACTGAACACACATCAGCTTGGCGTATTCTGTCATTATTTTTGGTTCTTCGTTGTGTTTCTTTATACTACTTCAAAAGAGCATTGTTA